GGCACGGAGGCGCTTACAGGGCCAAGAAGGGGCTTCGTTCCTTATTTAGCGTTCCTTCTCTCAGCGGCCCGATTGCTTTGGAGGCATACTGGCTGGCCTGCCGATTTCTGCCGATTCGACTTCTCCCGACTCGGCTGCCGATTTCCGCCGATCCGATTCCTGGCGATCGCCGATGCGACTGGTCGCTTCGACTCTGGGCTGTCCCCGGGGCTGGGCCCCCGGGGCCGCGTTGGGCGTTGCGTAATAAGGGGGATCGTAAATGGGGGGGCGGCGAGTGTGGTCCGAAAAGGTACCCAAATGGTACCTAAACGAGCCCCCTGGGGCTCTGGAGGGGCCCGAAAGGGGCACGAAAGGGGACCGTTTCTGACCCCCCCATTTGTGACCCCCCCACTAAGCCACGCCCAAGCCGCGACCCCGCGGGCACGGGGCGCTCTCTCCAGAGAGGCCCCGGGGGCGAAGCGCGCGTGCCCCGCCGCCCATCCACGGGACCGCGCCCCAGAGACCCGACGGCGAGGATCCGGGCACGAATCTGGTTGAGCTGGGCCTGTCCCTCTACAGTCGGGGGAGAAAAAGATACGGATACGTACGAATCTGGTTGAGCTGGGCCTGTCCCTCTACAGGGGGGGGAGAAAAAGATACGGATACGTGTTGTCCCCCTTCGTTGTCGGCCTTTCCTGGTCCTCCTGGGGAATCCTCGTTGTCGCCGCTGGATTCGCCTCGAAATTCTGGTCAGAACGCACCCCAAGAGAGGTCCGGGGACAGCACGTATCCGTATCTTTCCGCCCCCCAATACAGGGGGAATGTTCAAAAATAGTCAGAAGGTAGTCTGGGGACGATTTGTGTACGTACTGCTCCTAGCACGTTTGAAACATGTTCTTGCCATTTCTCAGTTTTCGTCCAAAGCCCGCTTGTAGGGGGGCATGCCCTGCCTAAGAACACTGGGGAGGCCCAGCGGCCGGTTCCGCCGACCCTGAAGGGGGACGGCGACGACGGCGGCGGCGGTGGCGGCGGCAGCGGCGACGACGGCGGCACTGACGCTCTGGAGCCTCTCTTGGGGCTCTCTCGGGAGCCTTTCTTGGGCTCTGCTGGGGCCTGGGCCGGGGCCGCGGATTTTTCTTCGCCGCTCCACCCGACCGCGTATTCACCCGACCGCGCATCCAGGGGATCGCGCCCCAGAGTTCATCAGCCACGCGCAGAGGAGGGTGGGGGGTGGGGTGGGGCCCTCGGAAGCACCCCTGCTTCTTGGAAGGCGCGGGCCTTGTTCTACAGATGTGAGGCTGGCGCCTGCTAAGAAGCAGCCTCCTTCTGAGAAGCCCTCCCCCTCCCTCCACCCCTTTGTGCGCGCCGCCGAGTTCAGACCGCGAGGACCCGGGTAGGGACATTTTCGCCGCTCGAGACGAGAGCTCCCCGGACTCGTCGAGCCGTCCGCACTGCGGCGGGCACTCGCAGACTCCAGGGCCGGGACGGGCGGCCAGCGCCGGAAGTCTGTTTCTTGAGCCCTACACGGGGGCCCCCCAACGGGGTGGTGACCACACCGTGCGGTGAGTCGGTGGGGATTCGGGATCACCGCACGGTTCTGGGACTCGAGGCCCTCTCCGAGGACGTCTCGGGCGGCAGGGGCCTCCAGGGTCCCAAGACCGTGCGGTGACGGACCGTGCGGTGAGGTCTTGGGGGATTTCGAGGTCACCGCACGGTCTGTCACCGCGGGACTCCAAAGATATCCGACCGATAGTTGTTTCTGATCCATCCCCCTCGGTCGCTGAAAGTAGGTATTTGGGGGTTCCCAGTGCCTAATCTATTTCGGCCTCCTTCCGCCCTCAAGAGTCGAGTGGTTTTCCCTCGCCCCTCCTCTTCAGGAGGCGGGCGGAGACCCAATCTACTTTCAACGCCGTTCTTCGTGTCTCTGCCTGCTTCTTCTGGCCGATGGGCACGGGGGCCCCGGGAGTCCCGGCCCTTCTCCCAGGCCGGGCGGGGCCAGGACCAGGAGCAGTCCGTGCCGGGGCGTTCCGGAGCGCTCTCGGGGCATTCCAGAGCGCTCTAAGCGGGGCACAGCGCCCGACACGTCCTCCAGCGCCGCGGGAACTCGGAGATTCTCGATTTGCCTCCGTCCGGACTTGTATCTTCGTCCTGGCCTCTGCTCACCGGGGCCAGTTCTGCATCCCGAGTTGGTCTCCGACGGTCCCGGGGCCTGGTGATAGAAACACCTCGCGGCGTGGTTTCGTCACGACGCGAGCATGTCCTGAGTCGGTGGTTCAAAGATGGGGTCTTGAGGGATGGGGTCCTGAGGACGAGGTACCTCAAATATTGTGAATCCACCCTTGGATCCTTTCCTATCCTAGGACCCCATCCGACCCTATCTTTGAACCACCGACTGGGTTCATAATTATAATCCTGTGGTGTTTGCCTTGTCGCTATCACCCCGTCCTAAAAGTGGATCCGGCCCCAAGTTTGCCTGGGGACTGGATGCGCCTGTAATGCAGCGTGTGTTTAATGGGTTTGCCACCCTGCTTCCAAGCGGCCCGATTGGCGTCACCCCTCCAATCGAATCTTACTGGCTGCTCACATCTTCTCCCTCCAAGAAAATACCCGAGACGTACCCAAACCCCTTCTCCACGCGAGGCGAGTATTTGCATGAACGCTCCATGCAAATGGACGCATCGCCAGATATGCACGATCTGCGCTGCACTCATCTCCGCCGTGCCTCCGACGAGCCTCCCAGGGAGCCACGAGGTCTCGGCTGAATCCGCGTGGCCCCCGACTCCGCTGGGCCTCCCTGTCCACGAACGTGGAAACAATTGCGCAGTTCGCAGCATACCAGGGAGCAGCGAGGTCTCAAATGGGTGCGCGTGGCCCCCGACTCCGCTGGACCTCCGAGGAGCACACGAAAGTGGTGACAGTTACGAGGTCTCGGCTGGTTCTGCGTACTCCGCTACTGCGCCATGCCTCCAAGGAGCCCACTAAAGTGGCGACAGCTGCGCAGTTCGCAGCCCACCCAGCGAGCTGCGAGGTCTCGGTTGGATCCGCGTACTCCGGTATTCCACCGTGCCTCCCAGGATCCCACGAAAGTGGCGACAGTTGCACAGTTCGCAGCCCCCAAGGGAGCTTCGAGGTCTCGGCTGGGCTTGCGTACTCCGCTACTCCGCCGTGTCTTCCAGGAGCATACGAAAGTCACGACAGTTGCACAATCGCAGCCCATCCAGAGAGGCTCGATCCGCATACTCCGCTAATCCACCGCGCATCCCAGGAGGCGACAGGTACTCCATTCGCAGCCACCACCCAGGGAGCTGCGGGGTCTCGGCTGGATCCGCATACTCCGCTAATCCGCCATGCTCCCAGGAGCCCACGAAAGTGACGACAGTTGCGCAGTGCGCAGCCACCCAGCGAGCTGGGTCTGCGTACTCTGATACTCCACCGTGCCTCCCAGGAGCCCACGAAAGTGGCGACAGTAGCGCAGTTAACGGCCCCCCAGGGAGCAGCGCAGGAGGAGGCAGAAGGAGGGCGGAGGAAGAGGAGACGAGACCGCAGTGCTCTATCCAAAACGAGGGTCCAACCCAGGAGGGTTGGGATAAATATGCGAACCACCGACTGGGTCTGGTCTTACCGCGCCTTGGGACCGTCGAAGACCGACTCGGGACGCGGAGCCGGCCCTGGCAAGACGAGGCTATGACGAGGATCAGTTCGGACGAGGATGGATCGAGAATCTCTGAGACCCCTCGGCTCCGGAGGATGTGCCGGGCGCCGCGGCCTTAGAGCGCTCTGGAACGAGGATAGGTTCGATGATCCTCGGGACGTGCGTCAGTCTCATGTATGTGTGTGTTTCTCTTGGCATCGCTCGGATGTGTGCGTCGTTTCTCGACGAGGACCATCGAGGAACACTTATGACTATCTTGCGAAACAAAAGAAACACGCACGGCACCGACAAAAGCACGGGGAATGGGCGTCCAAGCGATGGCAGGTGCTCCGCTCGGCTCCCCCGAAGGCGCGCAGCCTGTGCCAGGGACCTCGTCACAACTCCCACGCCGTACCGGAGGGCTTCGGTGGGCAAGCACACGCTGGCGCTAACACACGTCGTGAGGATCAGCGGTCAATTTGGCATCGCTGGGGCGTGTGCATTCTTCAAGCAGTGGCGAAGCGTCCTGGCATTCTTATAGATCTACCAAGCAATGCTCTAATAATCTTTTTGTGATTTCCAGGAAATGTTCTTTGAACATGTTTGGCTGGGACTGTCTTGTTTTGACACATCGGGCTTACGTTCTAAGAACATGTTTTTTGTTATTTGAAGACTGGGGTTCTAAGAACATGTCGTGGTAGGCCTATAGGAATGAATGCGGGGACGGTCGGTTCCTGCTCAAGTTTTCTGTCGGCGAGGACCATCGAAGAGCCTCTTGGGCCACCTGGCGAAAAGATGCACGCACGAAGCCGACACATGCGCGGGGAACGGGCGTCCGAGCGATGGCGAGATCATCGGCACATCGGCACCGAGCCCGGGGGGGAAACGAGAAGGGGGATAAGTCCGTTCCAGAGCCTTCTGGAACGCTCTCAGAGCGGTGTGGAACGCCCTGAGGAGGCCGCGGCGCCCCAGACATCCTCCAGAGCCGCGGGATCTCAGAGATCTCGATTTATCCTCACCCGAGTTTACCGTCGTCCTAGATTTAAGTCGGGCGTGTCTCCCTACAAGGGGGCTTTCGACCAAAAATAAATAGTACCCCAAACATACCCCAAAAAGGTCAAAACATATTCCAAAAATAGTCCCCAGGCTATTTTTGTATTATTTTTGATTATTTTGAGGGTATTTTTCATTTTTCGTCGAAAATCCTCCTGTAGGGGGACAGGCCCGACTTAATCCTATAGCTTCGTCTTATCTGATGATCACCGATAAATCCGGGCGAGGATGCATGGCACCGTCGGCCCTTCGGCGGGCGGGGGGCAGCCTCTTGGGCCGAGGGCGAGCGGCTGGGAGCGCCCCCGAGTTCGACGCGCGGGGATTCGGCCCTCGAGAGGCGCGCGGTCTACAGCAACCGGCCCGTCGACATTGCCCCCGAGGCTCGCGGCTTCGACGACCCCTGAGATCTTGGCGTCGCAATTTTTTGGAGCCAGGCGTTTTCGCCTGAGTTCGGGCCCCAGGACCCTTACAGCTGGGTGCGGCTCGAAGGATGGCGCAGAAGGATGGGGTCTAGGGCTCCAGCGTGATGTTTCACGATTTTACATTTATTCGCCACGTCGGATCTCAAGGACGGCGACGGCGACGACGACGACGACGACGATGACGACGATGACGCCGGTGCCGACGCCGACGCCGACGACGCCGACTAAATTTTCATTATGTTCTTTCTTCTTATATTCCCAAGCAGTTTTGATTATTATTTGTATTCGTATTGTTCTTTATTATTGAGGTTATGTTTTAGTTTTATGTTCACTGGTACTATTAATCGTTTTCGTATTCGTACCATGTGTACACTTGTCGTTCTACTCATTAGTATCCCTCCTCGTATTCTCAGTATCCTAATTTGCATTTTTACGACTACTCTTATAATTGCCTGTATTATTGTTATTCTTGTCATCATATCAGTATCGTTCCCCAACCAGTGCTTGCACCGAAGGGGTCCTAGCGGAAGTTGAAGGATTTGGTGAAAGTTTCCCGCCGATTTTGGTAGAAGGGCTGGGTTCCCAGGTTTCCCGGTTCCGGGTTCCCGGGTTCTTGTTTATCGGTTCCGGGCCGATTTCGGTGGGCGGCGGGGTTCCTGGGTTCTTTGGTTCCTGGTCGATTTCCTTTTCGATTGGCCTCACCAACGATCTCATTACCCACCCCTCTATCGATCTCACCATCGATCTCACTATCGATCTCACAAGCGATCTCATTATGGATCGCACGAGCGATCTCGCGATCGATCTCCTTATCGATTTCATTGAATCGACGTCATTCTAGGTCTCACGATCCACCTTACAATCGTCCTCACTATCGATTCCACGATCGATCTCACAAATCGATCTCAGGATCAATATTATCAATTTTCAAACCATCCACTGATTGGAGTTTTTCTCTTGTGGATTGATTGCTATTGTTATTGATGTTGCGTTTAATCGGCGTACGATTGTTATTGTTATTGATTTTAAGTTTAATCGTATACTTTATATTATGAGTAGTAGTGCCATTATTATTGTCATCATTATTACTGCTATTATTGATTCAACGCGTCCCCTTGCGCCCCCCTCGTTCCCTAGGGCCGTGTTTCATCCCGAGGCGTTCCTTCACGGTCCCGAGGCCCAGGAGGGGTCCCGAGAGGCCAGAAACGACGAACAGTCTCCGTCATGATCTTGCTCGAGACGCCCGAGGTCTGCCGAGATCGGGACAGCTGGCCCCAGAGCGTTCCAGGAACGCGCTCGGAGCGACGCGGAGCGGTCCAGATCGGGGGCGCCCAGGCCGAGCGGGGGGTGATGACCGAGGGGGGATCCGATGGTGGTGGCCAGGATGCGGCAGGCTCGCGTCGCGTCGACGGGCGGCGACCCCGCCGCCGGCGCTCAGCGTGGAACGCCGCCGGGCACCAAGAATCGGTCGATGTTGAACGATCTGACGTTTCGGAAACGGCAGATCGTTCAAGGTTGGACGATGCCCGCGGCGTCAGGAACCAACGCCGAAGACGGCAAGACACAAACCTGCCGTGTTTCCTTTGATCGTAATGTTGATGGTAGTAATAACAATACAAATAGTACGGGTCGTAGCCGTAGGAGTAGTAGAAATACTAATAATGGCACAAACAATGGAAGTAGTAGTGGTAGGAATGGGAGTAGCAAAAAGCATGAAGAGTAGTAGTAGTAGTAGTAGTAGTAGTAGTAGTAGTAGTAGTAGTAGTAGTAGTCGTAGAAGAAGACGGGCTGGTAGTAGTAGTAGTAGTAGTAGCAGTAGTAGTAGTAGTAGTAGTAGTAGTAGTAGTAGTAGTAGCAGTAGTAGTAGTAATCAATAGTGGTCGTAGCAGTAGTACTAGTAGCAGTAGCAGTAGCATCAGTACTCGTAGTCGTAGTAGTAGTAGTAGTAGTAGTAGTAGTAGTAGTAGTAGTAGTAGTAGTAGAACTAATGGTAGTTGTAACCGGAGTCGTAGGTGTGATCGTTTTGGAACTAGTGGTAGTCGTAGTAGTAGTATCACTGGCAGTAGGCATGGCCGTAATAGTCGTAGTAGTAGTACAAGTAATTATAATAGTTGGGGTAGCCGTAGTAGTAGAAACAGTATGATAGCTGGGGGAGCAGTCTTAGAGGTACGAGTCGTCGTAGTTGTGGCACTACATAACTATAGTAACAGTAGTCATCGTAGTAACAGTAATAGCAATAATTGCCGTGGTAGCAGTCGTAGTGGTAGTAGTCCGAGTACTTATATTCGTAGCATCCGAATCGGAGAGAATAGTACTTATAATACTCGCCGTCGCCGTTGTAGTCGTAGTCGTAGTAAGGGAATAGTAGTGGTGGCAGTAGGAGCAGTAGCAGTAGTACGCGTAGTAGTAGTAGTAATAGTATTAGTGGTAGGTGTCGTCATACTGGTAGTAGTAGTAGCAGCAGCAGCAGCAGTAGTAGTAGTAGTAGTAGTAGTAGTAGTATAGTAGTAGTAGTAGTAGTAGTAGTAGTAGTAGTAGTAGTAGTAGTAGTAGTAGTAGTATAGTAGTAGTAGTAGTAGTAGTAGTAGTAGTAGTAGTAGTACTAGTCGTAGGAGTAGTAGTAATAGGAGTAGTCACGAGTTGTATATTTGTAGTAGTGATCGTAGCATTCGTAGTAGTAGCCGTAATAAAACAAAGCATTCGTAGTAATAGTAAGAGTCGTCGTCGTAATAGTAGTGGTGATCGAAATAGTAGCGGTGATCGTTGCATATTATTATTGATCGTAGCCGTGGCCGTAGCCGTACTCGTAGTAGCAGAAGTAGTAATAGAAGGGCAAGAGTAGTAGCAATACTCTTGGTAGTAGTACTGGTGGTAGTAGTACTAGTCGTAGTCGTAGGTTAATTGTCGTAGTCGTAGTCGTAGTTGTTGTGATCGTAGCTGCAACAGCATAGGTAGTAGTACTAGTAAGAACCGTAGTTGTAATAATCGTAATACTAGTAGTGGTAATAGGTGGAGGAGGACAGAGGAGTGATGGAGGAGGGAGAAGGGAGTTGGCAGGAGGAAGGAGGAAAGAGAAGGGAGAGGATGCAAGAGGCAGGAGGAGGAGGAGGGAGGAGAGGAGCGTAGGACGCGTGGGAGGGCGAGCGAGGAGGTGGAGGAGGAGGAGGGAGGACGTGGAGGTGGGAGGATCGGAAGAAGGACGAGGAGGACGGGGAGGAGCGAGGAGGAGAGGTGGAGGACGAACGACAAGGGGCAGGAGGGGGCCGGAAGGAAGAACGAGGAGGGGCGAGGCGGGGCTGGTCTGAACCAAAGTGTTGGGCTTGGCCCCTCGGCTTTTCTGGTTTGGGTTTGGTCGGAGTTCCGGGCTGCGCTTGTGGGGGGGATTTTCGGGGTTCGCTTCTTTTCGATGTGCTGGTTTCGCCCTTCCTGTTCGGGTTTCGCCTCGGACAGTTTTCGATTTCGCCCTGCTACCTCTCGTCCGCGCCCCTGCCTCGGGCCATGGTGTTCGAGCCCCCCCCCTTTTGGACGCCCCCAGCTGGGACGGCCGAAGAGAGCCCGATGCGTTCTCTCCAGACCCGCCGGTTCGCAGAGATCGCTGACTTGTCCCGATCCGATGTTGTCCCGATCCTGGGTTCGTGGCTTGCTGGGCGAGCCGTACTGCCTGGGCCCCGGGTGGCACCGCCCCGTCATGCGGTGTGCTGCCAATGACGCTCTCGGAGGCAGCTGCCAGCCACACGGGCAGTCCTGCACTCCCCTGTGCGGGTCGTGTGTGGCGTTTCCCCCCCCCCCCCCCCCTTCCACCGCTGATTAGGTGCACGCGCCTGAGCTGGGCACGGCGCCGCCGAGGCGCTTGACCGCTCGCTCTACGCGCGCGTCGAAACGAAAACAAAACGTTTTGGGAGAGGATTCGATAGGTCTGGGGGACCGCGCTTGGAACCAATCGTTGGTCCTCCGTCCATCCCCCACTCCCCCGATTCCCTCAATCCTCCCCCCCACAGCGGGGGCGACGACATCCGCCATGTGTTCGGACGTCCTGGGGTCGATTGACGCTTCTCCCGCTCCTCCGTCCTTCCGGTCTTGCCGCCGCTGGCTGTTGCCGTGTATTGGCGTGCCCGCCGCACCCGCCACGGATAGCATGGCAAGTGCCAGTTTCTTGCAGCTCGGTGAAAGCAGCAAGATTAGAATGGCAACCAATGTTTAAGTCGTCGTTTTGCTCGTGCACGCGTGCGGTACGCGTCCACAAATGGCGTCCACCTCCAACTCATCGTTCAAGGTTAAGGCAATGACACTGTTGGAGGTGTCTCCTCCTCCCCGTCCCGTCTCTTCTCGTCGTCGCCCGCCTCCCCTTCCACCCCACCCTGTCTTCGCCTGCGTTTCCCATGGGCAGCCCTTCGCGATCGGGGGCCTTAGGCAACAATGCGATGGAAGGGGGAGGCCGCTCTTCCAGTGGTGCACTCACAAAGCCTCGATTGTATTTCCGACGTCCCCTGGGTGCGGAGGCGTCAGGGTGCAGCCGTGGCAAGTGAAACGTCATGCGGCGCGGCATCAACGACAACGGCGACGACGACGACGACGACGACGACGGCGAGGGGAGGGCGAAACCCGCATTGAGGGGAAGGGGGGAAAAAGGGGGAAGGACGGGGGGGAGGAGGAGGAGGACGAGGACGAGGACGAGGACGAGGACGAGGACGAGGACGACGAAAAGGAGGAAGAGGAGGAGGAGGAGGAGGATGAGGAAGAGGAGGGGAAAGAAGACGGATGAGGAGGAGGATGGGGAGGGGAGAGGAAAAAGAGGAGGGCGGAGAAAGAGGAGGGAGGAGGAAGAGGAGGAAGAGGAGGAGGAGGAGGAGGACGAAGAGGAGGGGGGGGAGGATCTACGCTCTGGGCGCAAGCGTTTCCAGACAGAACAGGGAATGCTTCAGCAGCCCCAGCTCGTGCCCTTGGCGCGGGGGTGCGTCAGCGCCCCGCAGAACCCGAGCGCGCGCGTGCCGAGCTGCCCTGGGCACCACTTGCTTGTCACCTCGAGCCTCGCGACACGAGGCATTGAACCTCGAGGACCGAGGTTCGGTCTTCGAGTGTGCGTATTTTCTATCGGTCTGCGGTTTCAGGAGGTTTCGGGCCCGCTCTCGGGCTCCAGGGCCGTCATAAACGGATCTGGGACGGAGAGTTGCGCCCCGGGGTGCTGGAATTGTCCCGAACGGCCGCCCGAGGCCCGAGCTATGCTCGCACTTCTGTGGAACAAGCACACACACACAAAAAAAAACGCACACACACAGACAAAAACACATACACACATACATACACACACAACACACGATGGAAAAAAACACAGCCTCGAGGACCGAGGTTGAAGGACTTTGGTTGGCCCTCGGGGGGCCTGCTCGTCGGCCCTGCACCGGGCGCGGCTGGGAAAATTGCTGCGCTGTTGTTTTCCCGGAGGGCTCCGGGGGGGCACATTTTGAGCGGCTTCGGCGCAGACTTCCGGCGTCGTGAGTGCTTCGGTGTGGTTGGGCTCGAATTCGATATGCTTGTTCTCAAACGTTGGCGGCTGCCAGGCCGAGCGCTGCTGCTCCTTGACCTTCATCATTGCTCTGAGATGCCTGGGAGCATCCAGATCGTGCTCTAGCAGCTGCATTGCGCCAGATGTCCACGCACCTCCTTTGGTGTTCCCAGTGCGACGGTACGCCGAATGCCAGGTGCAGAAAGTTGTTCATGTGATTCCATGAGTACCATCGCCCATGTCCCATGCCGTATCGTGATGAATGTCCGTCGCAGCAAATGTTTTCATAATGTGTGGTTGCAGTTTTGCTGGCAGGTCAAGACCTCACTGGTCGATACCAACCTGACGTGCAACAAAGGCGCATTGGGGGCGCCTTGGGCAGATCATGTCTCACATAATTTGTGATGTCATTGGCTACGTCCCCAGAAACATGACGAATTTACGAAATCTTGTTCGCGTGACGTGAGTTCCCCTTGAAATGTTGAACAGGAGAATATACGGTCAAGGCGCTGAGACAAGGACCACTCTGGGCTCAGGAGGGGCCCCTGGGTCGGGAAGGAACCCGTTCGTGGTCGGGGCTCGCCATGGCCAGAGAAAGCCCTTTCGCTGTTTATTCGGCATTCCTTTGGGGATAGCACGATGAAAAAAGTCGGCGCGCATTAGCAGGCCGACCCTGCAAAATCAAGGATACTCTTGTGTCCTGTCCATCCCTTCGCGTGTCCTCTGCGTGTTCGGACTAAGGGTGCCCTCGTGTCCTGTGGCTGTTGGAGGTTATGTTACCGTTGGAAGAGTATCGCGTCCTGTCGCGTGTCCTCTCGTCTGCGCTCCGACTGTATACGGTAGGCTCGCGTCGTGTCGACCGGCGGCGACCCCGCCGCCGGCGTTCAACGTTGAACGCCGCCGGGGACCAAGAATCGGCCGATGTTGAACGATTTGACGTTTCGGAAACAGCAGATCGTTCAAGTTTGGACGATGCCCGCGGCGTCAGAAGCCAACGCCGACGTCGGCACGGCGCGAACCTTCCGTGCCTTGGCTCCCGCAAGAGCGCGAGGGCGGCGGGGCCTTCAGCAGCCTGTGAGGCTCGAGGGCAAAATTTTGAGGAAGCCCGCTGCGAGCGCCGACTTCTCAGTTACACCTTGCACAACAGGCCCGCCGCAGGCGCCGTTTGCCTTGGCACTGCTCGGGCGTGCTATTTCTGCCCTCGGCGAGGACCTCCGAGGAGCGTCCTGGGCCGCCCTGCGAGCAGCATGGACGCGCGGAGCCGACACGCGCACAGGGGGGAGGCACGTCCGCGCGATGGCGAGCGGCACGCTGCACAGCAGGCCCGCCGCAGGCGCCACTCCGTCTCGCCGAGGGGGAAGATAACCAAGATAAGGAGGAGGAGGAGGAGGAGGAGGAGGAGGAGGTGGAGGAGGAGGAGGAGGAGGGGGAGGGGGAGGGGGAGGAGGAGGAGGAGGAGAGGGACGGGAAGGGGGATGTAAGGAGAGGAGAACGAGGAGGAGGAGGAGGAGGTGGAGGAGGAGGAGGAGGAGGAGGAGGAGGAGGAGGAGATCGGAGTACGTGTCGGATCGGGCCGCCCCGGCGCGGAGAGCAGGACGCGGGCGGGCCGGGGGCGAGGACGCAGCCAGAAGCGGGCGGCAGGAGTCCGCGGCGCGGGTGCCCACCTCGGGCGCGCACCGGGTGGCGGTGCGAGGCCGCTCGGCCCCCCGTCCCCACCTTGGGGAACTAAGCTTGAGTCGGGCCTGTCCCTCAACAGGAGGGAGATTCAAGAATAGTAAAAAAATAGTCTGGGGACGATTTTTTGACTATTTTCGAACATGTGTTGAGCATTGTGTTGGCAATTTCCATTTATTCGCCCAAAATCCCCCTGTAGGTGGACAGGGCCGACCTAAAACTGAGTTGCGATTCTGTCAGCAGCCGCGCCCGTGGACGCGCTGACGGTGAGTTAGGCAACGGCGAAGCAGGACAACCAACTGTAGGAAAGTGTGGTCCGTGGCCGAACCGATAGCAGGAACGCGCGGTTCGCGTTTTCCTACAACTCGCTGTGTGGTTATCGTTCGGTACATTCGCATATCTGTTATGCAGGAAAGTGTGCTCTGCGATTTCCTACAATTTGTTCTGCGCGAGGTCGGTATCACAAAAACCAGATTCCCAACATCGCCGTTAACCAAGCACGCCGTTAGCGCGGCCTTGGTGTGCAGCTTGTGTTGTCGGCAGGTGGGCGACGCAAGAAAAACGAGGGCGGGGGATTCTCAAGTGGCAGCTTGCTGCATCCCATTTCTCAAACAATCACACTCTCGCCTCGGCGCCGCGCACATGTTCTCAAAACTTACATTCTCGCCTCGACGCCGCGCACATTTTTTGGTTGAAAGGGTGTTTTTTTCAGGGGGGCGGGTGGTGACGTGTCGTTTGCGGTATTTCTCGTGTCGGCGCAGTATTCGCGCTTGCATTGGCGCGGTTTGGCATTGGATTGGCGTCGCATTGGTATTGCGCTGCATTTCGTCGGCAGTGCGCTGGCCTTGCGCCTGAACTACGCTGGCGATTTCCGTTGAAACCTCTACAGAAGGAATCCCATGAAACCCGCCATCAGAAGGATTCCTAGTTACCCTCCCCCCGCAAGACCAATTCATCTGGAATCCTGAACCAAGGATTCCTATGCTCAACCCCTTTCTCCACGCGCACACATAAGGATTCCTAACCAATCCCTCCACTGAAAGATCCCAATCTAAATCATCCACAGAAGGGTTCCGAGTGACAAACGCGGAACAAACAGCATTAATTTCGTCCGCATCGATCGGGATTGGCATGCGACGACCGCGTGCTGGCATTGCACTGGCATTGTGCTGGCAATGGCTTGGCACGGACTTGCATAGAACTGGCATGCCAGCGGCCGGTTGAGTTCCTCCACAGAAGGCTCCTACTGAAATCCTCCATTGCAGGATTCCGAGGTCAATCACCAACATGAGGATTTCTATTGAACTATTGAATATAGAAGGCAAGCGATTCATTGGTGCCCCTTGACATTGCATTGGCCTTGTGCTGGCAAAGCGCTGGCATAGCACACGCATAGCCTTGGAATTGATTTGGCATTGCATCACTGTTGAGGCATTTCAAAGACGGATGCCTATTGAATTCTTCAGAAGGCTCCCATTGAAATCCTCCATAGCAGGATTCTTAGTTCAGTCCTCCACAGAAGGAATTACGATTTCAAGCTACAAAAACAAAGGATTCATTGGTGCTCCATGGTATTGCATTGGCCTTGCGCTGGCAAAGCGCTTGCATAGCACAGGCATTGTCTTGGAATCGACTTGACACTGCATTTCTCTTGAAACCCCTCGCGCAGGGATATCTATTGAATTTCTCCGCAGTGGGACTCTTACTGAAACCCTCAATCGCAAGATTCTCAGTTCAATCATCCACGTAAGGGTTTCTATTGGAATCTAGAAGGAGCACGGTTCACTGGTGCCCCTTGGCATTGCATTGGCTTTGAGTTGGCAAAGCGCTGGCATAGCACAAGCACTGCCTTGGAATTGATTTGGCACTGCATCCCTCTCGAAGCCCATCATCCAAGGATTTCTATTCAATTCCTCCACGGAAGGGTCCAAACGAACTCCTCCATAGCAGCATTTCTGATTCAGTCCTCCACATAAGGATGTGTACTGCAACATTAAAAAAAAGGTTCATTGATGCCCCTGGGCATTGTATTGGCCTTGCGCTGGCAGGGCGCTGGCATAACACAGGCATTGCCTCGTAATCGAATAGGTATTGCATTTCTATTGCAGCGCTTCGTGCAAGGATTCCTGTTGGATTCACCCACAGGAGGACTCCTACTGAAACCCTCTATAGCAGGATTCCTAGCTCAATCATCCACACAAGGATTTCTATTTGAATCTAGAAGGAAGCATGTTCATTGGTGCCCCTTGGCATTGCATTGGCCTTGCGCTGGCAAGGCGCTGGCACACCACAAGCATTGCCTTGGAATTGCGGTGGCATGCATTCCCCTTGAAACCCTGCGTATAAGGAATATAATTCAATTCCTCCACAGAAGGTTCGTACTGAAACCCCAAACAAGCAGGATTCCTACTTTAATCATCCACATAAGGAGTTCTATTGAAATATGGACCGACTGTTCACTGGTGCCCCATGGCATTGCATTGGCCTTGCGCTGGCAACGCGCTGGCATAACACACGCATTGCCTTGGACGTGAATTGTATTGCATTCCTCTTGAAGCCCTTCACATACGGATTCCTACCAAATTTCTCATCATATGGCTCCTATCGGAATCCCCTATAACAGGAGTCCGATTCAATCATCCACAGCAGGATTTCTATTGAACTATAGAAGGGGGAGGAAGGTTTATTCCTTTCGCGTTGGATAGCGGTGAATGGGGATTGACATTGCGCTGGCCAAGTGCTGGCGTTGTACTGGCATTGTGCTGGCGACACTCTGGTACGGTCCTCGTGTATAATTGCATGGCACTGGTGCTCCTTGGCATTGCTAGCAGAGCTAGCGTAGCACTTGCATTCATTAGCATTGCATTCCATTGAAACCCTCCACAAGCAACGGTTTTGATTGACAACCCTCCACCTACTGATTCCTAGTGAACGCCCCCAGAGGAAGTTAGCATAGCATTGGTGCCCCTTGGCGTTGCGATGGTCCTGGCGCTGGCAAAGCGCTGACACCGCACTACCAGTGCATTGGCATTGTCTTGGCGTTGCGTTCATAGTGAAATTATACCAACAGCCAACATCGACACCCACCATACAAGGATCTCTCTTCAAATCCTCCACATAAGGATCCGTATCGAAATCCTACGCAAGAAAGGTTCCCGTTGAAACCATCCACAGAAATATTCATACAACATCCTCCGCGCAAGGATTCTGTGTGAAACGCCCGCAGAACGTTTCCGATTGGAATCTTCCGCAGAAGGGTCTCGATAGAAATCCTCCACATAAGGACTTCCATTGAAATCCTCAGGCGGATTTCCATTGACATCCGCCACAGGATCCCTATTGAAATCCAACAAGAAGGGTTGGTATTGAAGCCCCCTCGACAGTGATTCCTATTGAAATCCTCTGCAGAAGGATTCGAATTTAAACCGCCCACAAGAGGATTTTTGTTGAAGTGCACAAGAGAAACTACTCATCGCTTTCAGATTGAACTGGCATTGATTCCGAAGTGGCATTGCATTGGCCATGTGCTGGCATTGTGCTTGAATGCGGCGGCACGGACTCAGCATAGAATTGGCATGGGATTGGTGTTCCTTGGCGTTGCGTTGGCTTTGCGCAGGAAGAGCGCCCTCATGGCACTGGAATTACCATGGCATTGAGTTGGCATTACTGGGGTAGGAGCGGGGG